TCAATATCTGAAGACAATCGGTGATATGATCGAAAGTCGTTGTTAATGGCTTGTGAGGATGCGTTCACTCCTTGTGACTTGTAATACTCAATGAAACTATATTGTTCTTCGTTATTACTTCCTTTTGTCTCTTATCTCTGTTTACTTTCTGTATTTTGAATTTCTTCTACTTTCCTATCTTGCTTTGTGTGCTACATGGGGGGGGGGGTGGTGACTTGAACTGCTGCACATCGGTGCGAATTTCGAAAACAGGCAGACAGATCAAGGCTCTCACGACCCATGGTGAGTTCTCTTCCTGTATTCATTCACATCACACATCAGGATTTTGATATCGCTATTTAGGGACTTTGTCGATAACTGTTCGTAGTTGTCTGTAGAAATCCTCCTTCTTTTCTCGTTCCGAGATGTTTGTAGGCGCATAGCATGGAATGATTGTAACCTTCCTTCCTTTTCAGTTGAACCTGGCTGTCATCATCCTGGAGGAGATCGGTTTCCACTGCATGAGAGCTTTGATTGCTGTTGGTGACATCATGATGGCCACTCCCTCAGTGTGCTCATGATTGTCCTCTGAGTGACCGGAATACATTATTGTCTCTCCAGTTGGTAGTTGGCACCTTCCACATCCGTTCCATCTGCCCTCGCAGATTCCCAACTCTTCTATTCTATACCTCCTCATTTCTGCGGCTACCTGGGCAGCCTTTTCAGTTTCGTACATTGTACTAACGATCCACGTCCCCATCCCTATTTTTGCTTTCATGGAAAGAGGGCTTATCGGCCGAAGGCTTTCGCCAGCCTGCGTCATTCCACTTTCTCGATTCCAGCGAAAAATAAGGCTATTGTTTATGTAGTTAAAATCTTTAATGTATTTGTGCGTTGAAGTTTCTGCAGAGGTTTGGTTAAGTTTTTGAGGGGTATTTGCTTGCATCACGCCCCAACCCCCCTCTTTATCCGGGCTGAGGACCAGCCAGAAAACTAGCGAGCTAGTAATCCAGACTAAGTTAGTTAGGTTGTAGTAAGGATTATTGTTTTAAGGTGTGGGCATTACTGAAGGTTCCTGAGCTCACCTACTTTCCTTCTCATCCCTCTCACATTGCCATAAAGTCAGCTGGCAGTGAGTCTCACAACCTTGGAGTGTTTTCGGGTAGTTGACGCTACGATGGCTGCTGGTAGGGGACTTTATTTTTGGGATAGTTGGCCGATTCCGACGGAAGCGGCCGGCTGTCGTTTTCTCTTGGATTCGGGTAGGACACTTGAATGACACTGACTGTCATTCTAAGGTCCGCATCTCCCTAGTGTCACTTAGGCTTGTGGACGTATTAAGCCGATAGTTTCCTGCCTCCATATGGTTCCAGGTCTGGTTTCGCAGCATCGAATATGACCTCCCAATTTACCTTTAGTCTCGTACCACAGTTGAATTACCAGAACCAACTGTTCCTGAGAGTTGAATTTGATACTTAGCACCATTGAGCAGCCAATCGATGTGACACAATTGAGGTGAAGTACATGGAAAGTCGAGACTGCTCCGGTAGCGCCAAGGGCCATCTGAGACGACAGCCATTGCTGTACGTCATGCACAAGCGGTGCCAGTTCCCAGCTCAGGAACGACGTATATGGTCATAGAGGTAGAAGGCATCAGTTCTAGTGACTCTCTCGCCATTTGCCTGTTAGCCCATGGACTCTCATGTCCCACTCTTATTCTGGAACTTCTGCCAATAGCTAATACTTGAACCATTACCAGTTTATTTCAGCATCCTTGGCTGGGCTCAGTGTCACCCTTAGTAGAGGTGGGTTACCCCGAGGTGGCTGAACTTCCCTGTACTACCTCCACAGTTTTGCTGCATAGGTGTTCACACCCAATTTATCATACGAATTGGACTGCTGTGCATGATCAAACAGAACCTTTTGTTCAAGCAAATTGTCATTGCACACGAGTACTTCAAACAATATGAGGGAATTCGATTGACTGACCTCAGATTTAGGTCTGGTTCTTGGCTGCTTGTCCGCGTTTGTAGGGCGATTCACTCCAGATTTCATCGGATTCTGGCTGATATTTGGTGTGTTTCTATGCTTGCTAGCGGGCGCATGTGGTTCTTTTGCAATTCTGTCTTGCCCTGCTGTTCGAGGTGTACACTTGTAAGTCTTCAGATTTTGAAGATTGATATTTCTATACGGTTGGGCTGGAGTGCCAAGTTTTAATGGTTTGGTGTTATCAGGTGGAGCGCTGCATGAGACTGTGTCGAGACACAAAGTGGCGTGCTGTTTCTATTCGGAGTAACGCTGCGTGGGGCTGTGCCAGGGCTACAAAATAGGCAGACGTACCAGCAACACGGGCACGCGTTAGTTCGCAAGAACTCATAATATGGTTGTGGCACCCATTTGTCACAACGTCTGTCAATGGAGTTGAAGATTGAACGATCAATTCTTGGTTGTTTGCTTAAAATCAACTTCCCCAATTTTCGCGGAGGCATCAATACGATAGTCATCGTCTCATCGGTCGCTGTTCAGTAAGAAGAGTGAAACATCGTCAGAAGTAATACAATGATTTGTTATTGTAATATTTGTTTTCAGACCTTAGTCCACTTATTCTTTTTATATGTTGGTGTAACAATAAAGAAATATCAAACGGCAGATCGGTGTTTTGGTTTTTTCGTCCGTTATAACTAAGCGTTTCTGAAATCTTCGAAGAACAGCGTGGGCCCGAGCGTAGCGAGAGCTGGGCATTAACGGTTTATGAGACGTGATTGACAACGTCAGTGCACCCATCGTTTGTAAAAATTGCATTGAAATGCTGAATCAGTTTTAGAAACGACAACCCCACAGGCCTGACATTTATCTCCTTATTTAGATGACACTTTCGAGGTCTTATTAGGTCTTGAGCGTTTCCTTTCCGTTTTGCTGTATGTCGCGCGCTAGCTTCCGATGGATACAGGTGTAGTATCATATTTAATTCCTTTACACTCTGCCGTTTCAGCGCTAGACTGTAGCAATTTAGCCATAGTATCAGAACACGGGTGGTGTACACGAGTCATTAGAATCGGTATGCAAGATGGAGTTGACGTCACTGGGTTATCGCTTCCTCTGGCAGAATACCTTGTCACCTCGGAATGTGGTGTATTGGTGCTTTTTTGTGGCTACTTTAAGCCGCCATATTAACAATTGCTGTAACTTATATACGAATAAGAGATAGCAACAGTATCTGCCTCATAGAAAAAGAACAAAAGGATTGATAAAGTACAAGATATCTTTGGTTACTCGGCTTCACACAAATCACACGACAGACCAACAAGTCTTGTTGGTTTAAACGAGCGAGGAGGATGCTGCTAAAGACGTAGCACCCGAAGATTTGGCAGTGGTGCGAGGCAGTTGGACTTATTATCCCCTGAGATTTGAAATGGAAGTAATGGTTGAATTTAATTCACAAACTGGGAAGATCAGGGTTGCAAAGCGGATAATTCATAGAAAAGGTATTTTCCGGTTAGAGAGGTAAAGCACGTCTTATTCATGGAGTGCGTGGTCTATGCTTTTTATTTAGACGAGGGAACAAATGCGCGACAAGGCATTTGCCACAGTGTTGTTCCCTCGGATACATGGCGAATATCCTACGAAAACTGTGAAACATGGTCCGGTTGTCGTGATTCTCTTAGCGACTGCTTGTCTGAGGTTGAGGTCAGAGAGTATGTTAGGGTTTGTAGTTAGTGGAAACTGCGAATTCACGACCCTCAATTGAATGTCGGAACTGGCGTGTAGAACAATGCATAGCAAGAAGTTCTTTGCCGAATATGCTGTGCTTGTTTCTGCTAGTTGTAGACGCCTCGAGAAAAAGGTAAGCAGTTGGGACTCTCTGTTGACTAGCTGCTGCAGAACTGAGTCGATCGCAGTTTTTGAAGTGACAGTATTAAAACAGCATTTCTCAAGAAGTGTGCGCAATCAGTGAGTTTTTCACCACGCCTGCTCTAAAGACAGTTTCTGAATGGTTTCTATTGCTTAGAGACAAAGTTCTACTCACTGGTAGCTTTACTGCCTACAAAATCAAAGCTCGCTGAGGCCTTATATATGAAAATTTAGAAGATTTGTTATGTGAAAACACAATTCTTATGTTGTGTGTATATGTACTGTTGCTGAATTACTTGATTTACACATGGTACTCATCCCCTGCCGTCTAATTATTCGATCCGCTCACTATCTAGATTTCATTTCAACCGATCTATTGTATTTTATTCAGTGTTTATTTGCCTAACCGGAGGAGTACCCAGTGGAACGGATTTATTGGGTCACATTAGCTACACTGCTCCAGTATAAAGCATACACCCTCTCCAAATTGCTACGATGTACCTCCTTTCAATCTGTTCAACAAGCTGCAGCGACCTGAGAGATTGATTGTACTTGGACTCATCGAGATTTCTCAAGATTTTCGGAGCAACAGCAATGAAAAGATAGGAATTCATAAAAGTTATATAAGCTAGTCAAACTGAAAGTTTTAAATACATATATTTGAAGGTCTCTGAGGGCTGGACTTATTTACCACGTACTGTTGAAGTTCCGCTTGGAAATTGTTTTTCCAATAATTTTTAATAAAATTGTGTTATATGTTATCTGGATTGATGGAAATTCCCATTTTTTGGCTCGTTATGTTGGTGTCCTCGTCATGTGATCTGACTGCAACACACTTTTAGCATATTGATTGAAATGACTAGTGTTTTAGGTAGACTGTATCAAAATATCGGTGTAATAAGAAAGATAGGATAGTTGGAGTGTAATGCCATTCACACAAATCGTTTACTCCATGTAGAAGCTGCACCTTTCGGCATAGTATCATTCAATGAAGACTTCATGTCTCAGGATATCAATATAGCCTATTTTCGTGTGAAGAACAGTCTTTTTTGACAAAATAATTCTCTCAGTGTTTGGAAATCACCTGCAGATTCTATCAGAATCATTTGTGGGAACCTAAGTTATCATTTAGATGTGCTTTTCACTTTATCCGTGGTTGGACAGGAATTATGGTAAGTTGAAAGGTTATCTCTAAGTGGATTTCATATATATTGGCACTGATTAGTGCAGTGTGCTATGGGTTATGTGAATTAAATGTACAAAAATATCTCAACTTTAATAATATTGTGCCATTGTCTACTGACTGATAAGATAACAAACGAAGTTGGTTGTCACGATTATTGCAAGTACAATGCAGTGGAGGAGGCAATTCCTCGTTTAAATTTCCTTCCTGTTCGACTTAATGCATTAATTCATTACACGGTATGATTATACGCATGAGTCGCGGTGATTATGGGAACTGAATGTATTCAGCTTTATTATCATTATTATGAATCTATTGTCTGCTTTATGATTTCCACTGACTGTATACTTAATGCTACAATATTTTTGATCACCAATAGTGGAGATGAATTTCTCCTGAGATTTCCATTTACTCAAAGCAGTCCCTCACATAGAAAAGGCGACTGGGGTGATTGCCATTAACAGCCGTCGCCATTACTGCCTGGGTGGGGAGTTTCCCTGAGATGAGTTACCACTGTTGTACATACACGGTCGAAGACAATTCAGGGCATTATGCCCATACCTCCTATGATACCAACAAATGTTACGGCTTTGGGACGGTGTTCTAGAACTTCGTATAGATCTTGGTCGCTGTTGCTTAGATACCGTATGTGACTGGTTCCTTTGTGCTCGAAGCTCAGACACTTACAGTCGTAAGTCTTGCATTTGAGATGTTAACTCAGAAAGTAACAAAATCAGTGGTGCGTCCTTCATAGATGTGGAATCCGACCAGGCGGTAACAGGAGAGTTCTGTGTCGCTTCACCTTTATGAAGTTCTTCGGGAATAGTGGTAGGTTTATATGGAGCCATTGTCAAAAAACAAATATTTAAGTATAGAGATATACAAAATAGCAAAACTTGTGGTAACAAAAATTAAGGCCAAAATAGCAACAAAAATGTTCAAAACGAGTTAACTATCGGAACAAAAAGGTTCTAAACGGGCTCACCAACTATTGTGGTGGACCTTTTACTCTGTTAGCTTAGTTACCCAAATTCAAATAGAAAATAAAGTACCAAATCAGTTTAGTTACGGGAAGAATGTATTGAAGTTTGGTTACTTGGGTTTAAAAAGATCCATAGTCCACAATAAACGTAATAGACTCCAGGTGCTGCGGGAAGACAGCTCCAGTACTAATTCTCCAATGTTGACGTTGCCGGAGGTCGACCAAAGTACGTAGGAAGAACTACGGTGCTCCTGCAAAAATTTGAGATAGAAAGCAGGTGATTAAAATTGATCGACGGCAGTTGGGATGGTGGAGAAGACGGAGAGTCGAAGGCAGAACTATATATTTATCCAAAACCCGAGGTAAAGTTCAAAGTACAGAGTTTATGGTTAAAACAAAGTGATGTGCAATATGTTCATTTCTTACATAGTAGTAAAATTTGGATAAGTTTATTTTTGAGGACTCCACAAAATATACTATTCACTTGACAATGAGCTGAGAAACAATATTTGTTTATTTCTAATATGCCGTTGAATCATGCGATGTTATGTAATATCCATCATTTCTATGGTCAACAACTGCGGTATTTTACATGTTAAGTAACCAAATGAGCCAGCAAAAAAAACCTGCAAACAACAAATGGACTGCAGACAACTGCTTCTGCCAGCCAAACATATTCATGTGCATAATTTGCAAAAGTTCTACATAGTACTAATTCATTGATAGCTGAAAAACAACTAAAACACTGAAAGTCGCATGAATGCAAGGTATGAGACAATTACACCGAAATAAATGCACTGACCTGGTAGTGAAAACTTTCAAAACCAAAAAAAATAATTCATTTTAACAGCAACGGAAACAAAAAATGAGGTGAAACGCAACATTTGTGAATAATACGCAACAAGATTAGTCGTGTATAACGGCAGGATAAACGGAACAACAAACGCGTACATGAACAGCTACGGAACTGCAATCCAACATGACCGACTAACATGGATGAAAATGACCTTTAAGGGTCTCACTCCACCAATGATCTTAAGGTTATATAAGGCATATGTGTGGCCACACCTTGAGGTGCATAATATCATTGCACCTCCGCTACTCAAAAAGGATGCTAACATTCTAGAAAGTGTCCAGAGACGAGCGACAAAATGGGTGATCGGCCTCCGCAACAAATCATATGAGGAACGACTAAAGAAATTAGGTCTTTTCACACATAGTTACCGAAGGCACAGGGGAGACCTCATCACCGTCTACCAAATCCTAAATGACCAGGCCCACCCAAATTAAAGCATCCTGCCATTAAGTGACTATTGGCTTCCACGAGGTAACCCGCTAAGGATAGCACACCAGAGACCAAAGACTCGAGTGCGATCACATTTCTTTTCGCTTCGTGTTTGCCGTCTCTGGAACGCTCTACCGGCGGCCGTGACTACAGCGCTATCTGTGGAGATCTTTGAGCGGAAGCTAGACAATCATGCAGAAATGCAAGGTTTGTGTCTCAACGGCTGATCCCCATAAAACTTGAAACCACACTGTCAATGGATAAGCGTACAAACTAAATCCCCACGACCTATTCTGCCTTCTCTCACTCTATCTTTTCCTTAGGTCACCTTTATTATTCCACTTATCTCAACCTATATTATCTACACTACAACCCATTATTTTTGTTCTTACTACTATTCTGCTTTTATGACTACACCGAATGACCAACGGGAGTTAGGTCAAACTCCATTCACGGCAGCAATACAGTCCTAACATACTGCATACTACAAACCACATCTCGACCAATCCCCGCCCCACTCCTCCTGGAGTCTACCAGAGCTAAAGCAGTCGAGTGGCGGGACTTACTACGCAGAAGCTCACCGAAGATCTGCAACCTTTACCTCACAATCAAGAAGCGAGCCCAAAGAAATCACTGGTTTATAATAGCTCGTAATCAGGATATTGGATATTGAATGACCTTGATAAGTTACGTATAATTTAGGTCGTCTCCGAGGGAACGCAAACAAAATGGGTTGGCGGATTTTTAAATATATTTACTTTGATACATTTGTTTCCTGTTTGCATTTTACTACTTCTTTATGAAAGAGGTAAGTTCATAACAAAGACAATACTTCGATAATTTTTAAAAACAGTGCGTGTGATATACCCTTGTTACTTCTTAAATTCTTCTCAATATCTATGGACACTGGCACTTACCCTAGTGAGTGGAAAACTAGCTTCATAATTCCACATTACAAATCTGGTGATAGGGCAAACGTCCGCAATTACAGACCCATAAATATAACCCCAGTTATCTCACGAATCATGGAGAAAGTTGTAAAGGATCAATTGTCAGACTACCTAATTAGGGAAGATCTTGTTACAAGGTCTCAACACGGATTTCTCAAAAATAGATCCTGCGTTACTTGCCACTTCGACTTTTTCAACTGCATCACTAGTAGTCGCGAAGCACGTAAGCTAGTCGTTGTTCTCTACTTCGATATATCTAGGGCATTTGACATGGTATCTCACAGTATTCTCTTTGAGAAGCTGTACTCTTGTGGAATTCGCAACCCATTACTGAACTGGTTAAAATCATTTCTAAGCAACAGGGTACAAATAACCAAAGTTGGATCTGTATTGTCTCATCCTAGGCAGATCTCAAGTGGGGTCGTGCAAGGTAGTGTCCTAGGTCCACTTTTATTCACAATCTACATTAACAGCATTTGCAAGTGCTTCACCTTAGGCAAACCATTCCTATATGCTGACGACCTCAAAGTCGTCTACTCCTGCTACACTCATGAATTAAGCGATATGGTTACTAAAATACATCTTGAACTAAGTAGCCTTGCAACGTGGTGTGCTGAATCCTGTCTAAATTTTAACATTGACAAATGCGGCTGGATTTGTATCGGCAACAGTAAGCTTGATCTAACTCTTGAAATAAATGGGCGAAAACTAGCTAAGCTCAACTCAGTCGTAGATCTCGGTATTAGATACTCTAGTAACCTAACGTTCGCTGAACAGACTGATTATGCCAGACGTAAAACGCGAAGGCTGATAGGATGCATAACACGCAATTTCTTTTGTTGTGAAACTAGGGTTTTATTATACAAAGTATGTGTCCGACCTATCTTAGAATACTGCCCGTTTATTCTTAGCGGACTAAGACAAAATGACAAGCTTAAATTAGAGGGAGTGCAACGGCAGTTTACCTCAAGAACTCTTGGTTTAGAAAGTGGTCTGGAATACCATGAGCGATGCGTAAGACTAAGATTAGAACCCCTCTGGAAAAGACGCCTTAAGCTAAACCTTATCTTTTACTACAAGCTAACTAATCTTCTCTTGCATTCCTCCGAGCCAATAACTAAACCTACCGCTGTCATCAGTTACAATCTTAGAAATCATCACAACCTAGCTGCTATGGAGCACTGTCAGACTTACGTGCGGTACAACTTCTTCTTAAATAAGTTTTCAGTCATTTGGAATAGACTACCAGCTAATGTGCGCGATGCAAACACACTTCCAGTGTTCATCTCCTCAGTCACCAGACTACTCAAAGATGACAATGCACTTTTGCGCCTGACTCTTACACCTTCTTTTTCACCCTACATAGATATTTTAAGTTCTTTAAACGTGTAGTTACAACAAACTACAATTATAAATTTTAATATTATTGGAACTAGATGATTAACATTTCTACACAGGACAGTAATAATATTAGTTTACACATAATATAAAAGTTAGCATAACGGGACTAGTTAGTTTGTGTACCAAAATAACCACAGTTACTAAACAGAATATATATGTATATATTTATTAATCACTCCTTAAGGACTCCCGTTGCTTTCTTTTGCGTTGCTGTTGTTTGTCTTCTTTTTTCTCTCACCATTTCAGCTTCCATTTGACTTTTTGAATGAGAATGAATAATGTGGATATTTGACCATTTACAATGACAAATGATCTGCAAACATTATTGGTCCAGTATCTTTCAGTTGCCTGGTTAATAACGAATTAACTTTCTCCACGACGCAACCTGGATTACATTTGTGGAATATACTCTTATACCAATGGAAAAGTATCTATTTGTAATACAACGTCACGATTGTAGCTTATAACATAACTGATCGTATCTGTAAAAATAGCTTCCTTATTACCCAATTTGGATATAAATCAAATCAAAAATAAGATTCGGATTTGTACACACCCAAGTTATATTGAGGAATTACTTCAAGCTTTATTTTTTCCCAAGTATTTTTAATCCATCCAAAACTTACTTGGGTTTTTTTGTTAATGCGAAGACAATATTCCTATATTTCATGATGTGCTCCATTGAATGACTTGTTATATTGTGGAATAACTTCAAGCTTTATTTTTTCCCAAGTATTTTTAATCCATCCAAAACTTACTTGGGTTTTTTTGTTAATGCGAAGTTAATATTCCTATATTTCATGACGTGCTCCATTGAATGACTGGTTATATATTGTTCCCACAGACCTAAGACAAAAACGCCAGCAACCATGTAACTTAACCATAAACCGAATTTATGAAATTTGAATAATGCTTACGCATGCCTGTATATTTGGTGTGTCCTACACAAGTAGGAAAAAATGTGTATTTTATTAAAACATTATTATTAATTATGATTGCTAATCGTATATGTAATTTATCATATTGATGATGCCTGTAAACTGGCGTCTCTCATGTACAAAATGAGAATATACTATTATTATTATTATACTGCATACTACAAACCACATCTCGACTCCTCCTGGAGTCTACCAGAGCTAAAGCAGTCGAGTGGCGGGACTTACTACGCAGAAGCTCACAGAAGATCTGCAACCTTTACCTCACAATCAAGAAGCGAGCCCAAAGAAATCACTGGTTTATAATAGCTCGTAATCAGGATATTGGATATTGAATGACCTTGATAAGTTACGTATAATTTAGGTCGTCTCCGAGGGAACGCAAACAAAATGGGTTGGCGGATTTTTAAATATATTTACTTTGATACATTTGTTTCCTGTTTGCATTTTACTACTTCTTTATGAAAGAGGTAAGTTCATAACAAAGACAATACTTTAACCGAAATAGAATTTTCATTAATTATATCAGTTGTGCTCTTTCCGTAATTTTTTGAAACTTCAGTGGAATTCAAAAGTTTAATAATATTTCGTGACTTTCGGCTGTATAGCAGAAAGAGACGATAGCGATCTTATTGACTTTCGAGCAGTTTTTCGGAGTTTTGTTTTCCCAATTTTCAACTCTCACTTTGTTATATACTACTTTCGTGGCATATTAGTATAGCCTTATTCGCCCATATGTATTCTAGATCTTAAGACATCTTTGACAAATTATTTGAAATATTTATGAGACTGCAACTCCAAACTGATGAAGTTGTTAGGGAAGTTTGATTTATTCTCGAATTCTCGATCGACTGCGAATTTCAACTCGAAGGGGCAGTTTACATCTTGTTAACTGAAGTAGGCTTTTGGTTATATAGTTAGATGAGATGTTAGATTACTGTTTGAAAGGACTCCGTTATTTTAACACTCGGTAGATTTAAGTGGAATAAAGTCATTCACTGATGGTTTGTGCATGTTATGGGTGGTATAAATATACCCGCCTACATGTCCTTCGAGGTACCTGTGTTTACAACAATCAGCTAACAGGTCTAAATACACTCGCTGATTAAGTCAATCTCTGTCTTTGTGTGAATATCTTCATAGCTTAATATCGTCCGAAAATACTGGATGAAATAACTTAGCAACCAACGCCATCTCATTTACATGCAAGTAGGAAAATGAGACGTGCTAGAATTTTTTTAAAATCACCCCATAACTTACCAGTCGATATGATGACAAGGCGCTATTACCATTTGTTATTTGTCTCCTCTCTTTAAAGAAATCCCAAATCTAGTTTCTCGCTACTTCATTGATCCCGAAACTTCCTAACATTTTCAGAAAACAAGAATAAGAGTCCAAATTAAGGCCTTTGGTAAGGTTATCGAATTTAGAGTTTACTAGAATATAGTCTTCAGTTGCTGTAGTTCAATATTACCACTTCAAAAGAAGTTTGGTCCAGCAAGAATGATTTGTTCTAAAATGATGCTGTCCCTCGGGGAAAAGATTATTGCCTAAAAATGTTGACTAACGACATAACGGGTGACTTTCACCAGCTATTAGGCAGAAGTACTGGTTAAACTTAATGGAGAATAGTTCCATGTCGCTTTCAAAAATCAGACTAACAATGGTGTCCTTCTGGTCTTATAGAGACGTAGACTGTCCCAATGACCTGTTGTGCATTACCGACAAAGTGTCGGCCATCATCCAGTCTAATGCGAATAATATTTGTGAATGAAGTTCATCAGGAAGACTGGGATTGAACTGAGGGAGCAGTTTAAGGTTTATTTCACTCATTGCATAGAAATCTTATTTAAAGATCACATTCCAGAAAATCTACTATTGTTGCATTGCCACTCTCAGGCAATACCTGGCTAAAGTAGCTTCACGGATCTGCAATATTTCTCAAGTTGTCGCGTGACATGCTTGCAGCGCTTTTATCAAGTAGAGGGTTTGGGATGATAGTGTTATTTTCACTTCTTCTCTGGTAGCACTACAGGAGGGTCTTCAAACGTGTCTATAATTTCCTAAATGTCTTTGATTTATATCCCTCCGTATATTGATAGATCACGTCCTTGTACTAATTTATCCTTTCACAGTAGTGTGGGAAAAAATTAAGAGTCCTAATGGAGATAGAGAGAAATCATAACATTTCCCTCTTCTGTAGGAGTGTCACGGTTTGTCTACGAATCCATTGAGATGATTTTCAGGTTCACTAGGAATCCTCATTTCATTGAATTCTGATGTGACCATCCCAAGTGTATGGTTGAATTTATTCGGGCATCATTAATGGATGAGTCACTACTGACCAATCACTCTACAGCTAAAGCTCACTCCTTAGCAGATACGATATCCACATGCCAAACGTTAAAATGAGCATGGGGTTGCATCTGGACTTAATTTCAAGCTCTTATGTTGAGTGAAATGGCCACTATTAACTGAAGTAGAAGCGATAACTAGACTATTCATGTTATCTACACCTGCAT